ACAGACTTTCCTGCCTGGGCTGGCTTTGAACTGTGATCCTCAAATCTCAGCCTTTTGATTAGCCAGTGTTACAGGCATAAGCCACCAGTGCCTGGCTGTAATATTGATTTGAAAAAAGAGATCTTAGTAGAACTTAGTGATTGAGTGAAAAGTAATTTTGGCATCTGCTGCATAGAATCACTATCATGCAATTGTTATTTCAGAACTTTAAATGTTTTTCTCTTGTGACTATATTATTTGTTTACCTGCTGAAAAAGTAGGTCATAGTGGTTCTCTGTGTGTGTGTGTCTGTATCTATGTATTTATGTATTTATGTATATATATATATATATATATATATATTTACTGCTGGGGTTAGTAATTTTTTCCCATGTGGATCTCCTTTTAGATTACTTCAGTCTTCTTCCTCTCCCGCAATTGTGTTATTAACTGAACTGTGGTAAGTCATAAAGATCATTGAACAGCACTTGTTAAATAAACAAGGTAAAGAGGTGGTTTTCTTCTCTCATTATTTGACATTTGAATAACCTGTAAGAGAAATACAAACACTCCCAACTACATGTGCTGTCTATTTTCAGTGATTTATGGGCTGATTGTCTAGATTGCAGCTTTTACTCGGGCAAATCTGACTTTCTCATCTAAGTCCACTTTCTTAAGTAGTTTAAACTTGACATCACTATATCTGATTACTTCAAACCTTAAATGCATCTAGTATCTTGGGAGATGGAATTTTGAACCTTCATTTCCTTTAGCTCTCCAAGGAAAACTGGGAGTCAGAGAATGGCAGGTTCAAGAAAGGAAAGAAGGAAGAAAAGGAAAGAAGGAAGGGAGGGAAGGAAGGAAAGAAAGAAGGAAGCAAGGAAGCAAGGAAGGAAGCAAAGAAGGAAGGAAGGAAGGAAGAAACGAAGGACAGAAGGAGAGAGAGGAGTACATTTTTTCCATGTGCATGAACAGTATGGTTGGTCCCCACATGCAGTAGAATACTGGGGAGTACTTGAATAGGAAATAAGATAGGGAAATGTAATTAATTTTCAGGTCATCATTTGGTGGCTCGTTTTCATTTTGTAATAACCTATTTCCAGAACAATAAAATAGGACCCAAATAAAATATATAGGAAATGTAACAACACACTGTCAAGCTAAGCAAAATTCTTTTTTTTTTTTTTTTTTTGTCAGTCGTGGGGCTTGAACTCTGGGCCTGGGCGCTGTCCCTCAGCTCTTCAGCTGAAGGCAAGCGCTCTACCACTTGAGCTACAGCGCCACTTCTGGTTTTCTGGTGGTTTATTGGAGATAGGAGTCTCACGGTCTTTCCTGCCCGGGCTGGCTTTGAACTGCGATCCTCAGATCTCAGCCTCCTGAGTAGCTAGGATGACAGGCGTGAGCCACCAGCGCCCGGCTGCAAAATTCTTTTAAAAAGTAATTTTTAACAACTTGGAATTTTTCAGCAACAGACCTGTTCCCTTGAGCCCTTTTTAGGGTATATGGATGAAATAGATGGCGTATGAATGCCACATATCTCTGTCTCTATCTCTATCTTGTCAAACACTGCAAAAGGGGTTAGCTGCTTTAAAATGGATGTAGACACTGTTGCAATCCATGTATTTCCAAGGCCAATTTACTTGACCCTTCTATCTGAAAACCAAACATCTGTGTTGTTTTGAGATGCACGAACATAATATATGAGTAGATAAATGCAGAGTTCATGAGATGTGTACCTTCTAGTTCGTATTATAATCAACATTGAAGCTTATGTGAGCGCATTGATGTTATTTACACCAACATGATCATGCTGTTGCTACTTAGTAACCAATGGTGAATAGCAGATGACTGTAGTTATTATGAAATATACACAATTAATCTGGAGAAGTAACTCTGGGGCCCTCAGACCTCAGATTTTGATCTGCAGAGGGCCATGTTCCTTCTTTCTGATGCAGAGGCTGCTGCACAGATCTGAGCAGTTGCTGGGTGACAGATGGTTCTGATCCAGATACTGGGGAATCAGGATTGAAGACAGGACAGTGCTTCTTGTGAGGTGGAAACAGGATGATGGTGGTTTAAAGTCAGCCTGGGCAAAATGATTAGTGAAACTGTATCTCAAGGAACAAGGTGGGGAGCATGGTGGCAAACATATCAGCTATGCAGGAGGCAGAAATAGGAGGGTTGAGGTTGGAGGCCAAGTGCAAGACCTTGTCTGAAAAAGAAAAGATAACCTAAAGCCAAAAGGGCTGCAGCGATGGCTGAAGTGGTAGAACATTTGCTGAGCAGGCACAAAGTTCCCCCATATGAGATGTCACCTTTCGTTGCAGGGAAAAATACTAAGGAGAATATTTCCCAGTGGTGGATTTGCTGGATCAGTTTTGTCTCAAATTCTTTTTTCCTTTGGAAAATAAAGATTCTCCATAATATGAAGAGATATCTACCCTGCAGCAGTATTCACAAGAGGCAAGATACAGAATGAACCTGTATCAATGGATAATTGAATGAACAAAAGGTGGTCTGTGAATGTACAATGTAATACTATTCCACCAGGAGAAGAGATAAAATTCTGTCATCGGTGACAATGTGGGTGAATCTAGATGACAAATGCTGAGTGAAACAAGCCAGTTGCAGAAAGACAAATATTACACGATCTCATGTGTGGAATCTAAAAATGTTGATATCATAGAAATGGAAGATGGTATTGAGGCTGAGGAAGGTGGAGCGGGGGTGGGATGGGAGAAAGTGGTAAGCCGGGTACCAAGTTACATCTGGAAAGAATGTTTTCGTGCTCTACTTCACAGTAGGATGATTAGATTCATGGATAATGTATTATATGGTCCCATAAAGGTGGAAGAGGATATTTTCCTTTACTTTAAAAATTATAATAATTAAAGAAAGGATTGTTTTGCTTTTTTTTGTCCATCGTGAGGCTTGAACCCTGGGCCTGGGCGCTGTCTCTGTGCTCTTCAGCTCAAGGCTAGCGCTCTACCGCTTTAGCAACATGCCACTTCCAGTTTTCTAATGGTTTATTAGATAAGAGTCTCACGGACTTTCTTGCCTGGGCTGGCTTTGAACAGTGATCCTCAGATCTCAGCCTCCTGAGTAGCTAGGATTACAGGTGTGAGCCACCAGGGCCCAGTGAGAGGATTGTTAATGTTTCACTACCAAGGAACAATAAATGTTTGAGGTGATAGATATGTTGATTGCTCTGATTTGACCATTAGATAATGCATGCATATGTCACAACATGACCTTGTGCCCCCTCCATAAATCTGCACAATGATTGCATGCCAACTGACAGTTAACAATATATATGTATATGCCAGGATGCCATAAAGGAGCTGTTGGGAGGAGGTTGGACAGGGGACCTGAAAGAGCGCCACCTAGCGGCCAAACACTCATTCTTCCTCTCCTTTCCCAGGACCACTCTCCCAGGAAGGAGCTTCAGGTGTGAGATGAAGGAAGGCTTTCTACCAGAGCATTTCTGCAGGTACCCTATACCTTAGGAAAGCATTTGCTAAAGCGGGAAGTACCCTCAGAGACTGGAGAAGGAAAAGTATCTATGATTCACATCTAAGTGGGGGGAATTAACTTCTTGCTTTGAATTCCTGGACAGCTACCTAGCTGAGGTAAGGTAGAAGGCACTAACAGAGGATAGGATTGAGATGGTATTGGCAGGCCTTGGGCAACAGATGGCTTCCAGAAGATGGCTGGAAGGGATCAGAGGGGTCAGAAAGGTGTGGGAAGGAAGTAAAGAGAAGGTAGTATGGGGAAGATAGGAGGAAAGGTACAGGTACAATTGGTGCATTTGCTAAGTCAAGTGTGTTCAAGGCATTTATGGCAGTATGACCTTGTAGACAGGTGCATGGCTTGGTGGTGATTAGCCTTGATCTGGCAGAGGAAACTACCCCAATCAAACTTGAATGAGGTAGAATAATGTTCGAGAGCTATACACCTCTCATCAATAAACCATGAAGATCTTCCTTCACACAGTCAGGAGATGCTGGATAGAATGTGGCTGAGTCACACTTGATAATTTGTTCCCCAAAGCCCCTTGGCTTCTTGATATCCTGTAGACTGTTGCTTGTCAATGGTTTAGTCTTTGTATGAGTACCAAATACCCATTTTATCCAGCCACTCTGGTATATGGAGTAATATTTCAACAGAGAGAGAGAGAGAGAGAGAGAGAGAGAGAGACAGAGACAGAGACAGAGACAGAGACAGAGAGACAAAGAGACAGAGAGACAGAGAGGGGAGAGAGAGAGACAGAGAGAGACAGAGAGAAAGAGAAAGAGAGAGAGGGAGGGGGGAAGGGAGAGGGGGAATGGAGAGAGGGGAGAAAGGAGAGAGAATATTTAGTTTAATGAAGGAAAAGTTGTGACTTTTTTGATTGGACTAATATGTTGGATATCTTGAGCTTAAGGTAGAGCTAAAACCATTGTATTTAAAAAAAACCCACACTTTCCTGACACCTTCCTGTTTTATTGACAATAAAGCATTTACATGTAGTGCTGTATTTATTTATAGGTCTCTGTAATGAGGGAAATGTATGTTAACACTTCACTCTTTAAAGTAACAGTCAAATGAGTTTTATGTGCCCCAACTTATTATACCCTCTCCATTCTCTGTTACTGAAGAAAACACATAGTTTATGATGAAGAAAAATCAGATAGGAAAACCACTATGTTTTCTGATCTGCACAAAAGTTTTAATGGAATTTAAGAATAAAAAAATCAGTGCCCCTAAATGATAACTTGCAAGAGAACAGGAGATTCCGAATGAGCAAGGCCTCACCGCGCCCTGGCCTTCAGAGTCTTTCACTTCAACATTTGTCCCTGACATACATCATGAATGTTGTGGTGTGTTTCAGAGGGGTCGAGGTGGGTAAGATCAGAAATCAATGCCATTGTCCATTAACAAGGGGTGGTATCATGGCTTCTACAGAAATGCAATTCCAGATGAGTTGGCATACCTAAACCATTTAAAGAAGAGCCCGGAAGTCCTTGCTTGCATCCACCCCCTTAGTAGGCTCGGCGGCATTCATAGGACCCCCAGGCCAGGCTCCCGTCTTCTTTTGTCCAAGGTGAGGGGTCATGGAGAGAAGAGGTGTCTGACTCCTCATCAGCCTTGGGCTGTAGGTCGTTGGATACTGTCATGAAAGGGGTGAAGGGGTACGGAGGTGGAGTGGGGTACCCCGGTGAGTGGTGCAGATCTTCCAGTGTGTGGAGTGAGTAGGGCTGAGTGCCAGCCAGAGAGGACCCCCAGCCCGAGCTCCTGTGCTGCTGCGGGACGCTGCTACCCGACTCCAGCTGGGTGAGGCAGCCGGAGCTGGGTGGCAAGGCTTGCAGAGTGTCAGCGGGGTCCGGCTGGCTGAGAACATCAGTCACGGTCTGCTCCCATGAGTCCCTCTGAGGAAAAGAGCAAGTCACTGGGTTACTCACTGGGTGAGGCTCTGCAAATGCACGATGCCCCCTCCCCTCCTTGCTGATGAAGCCCACCAACCCTCAGGCATCTGCCACTAGCAAGGAAGGTTTTGGTTCCTCTCTACTCTGGGATAATATATATATACACACATATATAAATGTATCAATTATATGTACATATATACACGTATGTACATACATATGCATATTCATAAATACATATATGTGTATATATACGTATATATGTATCTATATACGAATTCCCAGAAAAATAACATGAAAGGAGTAAAATGTGAGGTTAAAAAAACAGAATCAACATGGACTGTTTTACTGTTTTGCTTTCTTTTGTGGTCTCCTATGATTCCAGGCCCCAGCTTAGTTTTTACCAATTAAAGAAAGTTAGTTTCAGGTCCCGTTTTGGCTGGAGAGGGCCAGTCTGTTGGAGGTGAGCAGAGGGGTGTGTTGGTAGCTGTCTCCTTGACTTGCTCTTTGGTGACCTGGGCTTACGTAGAGTTGGACCACTGGTTCCCTCCTGACTCTGAGCCCTTCATTTTGCTGTTCTGTAAAATGGAGCTTCCGGAAGCATTTCCTGAATTACTACAAGTATGAAGGGAACAGAGGCACTGAAAACTTCCTGGCATAGAGTAGATACTCAATAATGTTAATTCTCACTCCTACCCTGCTTCCCTTTTGTCTAGAATTCCACCTTTATAGAGATTCATTCCTTTGTGGTAAGAGGATTTCCAATTTTCTCCTAAGAACAGCATTAGGGATCCTTCAGACTTTTTGAACTGATATTTTTGGGAGGCTCAAAGAAAACAAAGTTCTGGCTGGCAGAATTGTTGGAAGCAAGACGAAGATGGTGGTCGTGGTGGAAGAAATAGGAGAACCCGAATGTGTGGACTATGGGCCATTACCTCACTGGTCCAGAGGTAGCAGCAGCATACATACCTTCCCTCTAGGCTGAGGAATGAGGGGACTTGCATTTAAGAGAGTAGCTGTAAATTCTATCTTACACTTTTTGTGGTTCATCACTAGATGCTCTTGCTGTTGTAGCTAATGTGGACTTTTGAGCAAGACTCCCTCAAAAGATACCCTGGCAGAGCTGGCATGCCCTGGTACCTCTGGCACTAGACGAACCTCCAGTCACCAAGTCTGGACTCCATGTGAGCCTGATTTGACCTCACTCAACCTATCACCAAGACCAGGGGTAGGGCCAGGCCCATGGGACCTCTGACTTCCCTGTATTCCCTACATGTGAAATAAAAATACTCACAAACACAAAAGAAGTGGGGTCACCAGTGAAGGGAGGCGGCAGGAGCGGCGGCAGGGGTGAGGCGCTGAACAGGGAGCCCGGGGTCGGGGTCAGTGCCGGGGGGCGATGGTCTCCATAGGGCTCTGCCAGGTAGGACTCCAGCAGCGCCGAGTGGCTTTGCCCCACTGAGGACTCGCAGGGAAAGGACTTTGCCACGCTGGAGGTGTAGATGTCATTGGAGAAGGGCTTCGTGCTGTGGAAGTCTGAGTCAGACAAGAACGATCTCCGGACACCATAGTAACCTGACATGACGGGTGAACCTGTAGTCAAATGAAAACCAAATGGACAACAGTTTCTTCCCAGGAAGGTCAGAGCTTCTCTGCTGCTTGTCCTGTGACATGTTAGTAACAAGGACCTGATGTTGACACTGATGTTAACACAGAAATAGACCGATGTCTGGAAAACAGGGTATAATCTATGTAGTCCCTGGGAGCTTGGACTCAGGGCCTGGGCACTATCCTTATGCTTTTCCCCCCTTAATGCTATAGTGCTCTACCACTTCAGCCACAGCTCTGTTTCTGACTTCTTTGGGGTGGTTAATTGGAAATCAGAATCTAATGGACCTTCCTACTGGGCTGATTTTGAACCCATAATTCTTTGATCTCAGCCTTCTAAGTAGCTATGATTACAAGCATAAGCTACCAGCACCCTGCTACATTGCCTCTTTTAACTGTCCCAGGTTCAAATAATGGATACATTTCAAGTTAACTCTGCCTTTAGAGATGAGTTCTATTTAAATATTATAGTCACTGTTCATTTACTCAGCTGCCAGACAGACATTTCATGTGCTCTTTAGATGCTAAGACACTTTGCTAGCAAGGGGATGGGCTGAAAGAGTTAAGCCAAAGAATCCCTTGGAATATATAAATAAATAAATACACACATACATAGAAAAACATCTTTGCTTAGCTTCTTAGCTCTGTCAGTACAATACACAGGACTGTTCACAAGAAGCTGCTCCTGACTTGCTACATGAAATACTTTATCTTTAGATCATATTTAGCACTGCCTGAAATCAGAAGCAGGGTGTGTTCTGTTTTCTAATTCTTCTGAAGATTGTCCTTTAGCAAGGATACTGTATGGATTTTTTAAAAAAAGATTTAAACCAGTCCTGGGGCTTGAACTCTAGGCCTGAGTCTTGTCCCTGAGCTTTTGTGTTCAAGGCTAATGCTCTACTACTTGAGCCACAGCTCCACTTTTGGCTTTTTATGGTTGGAAGTAAGAATCACCTGTGATCTTCAGATCACAGCCTCCTAAGGATCGGGGATTATAGGCAGAGACTGCCAGTGCCTAGCTGTATGGATCTTTAACATGGGGTGTCTTGTACCTAGCAGGCATCAATGCATGTATTATTTTGGGATAATATAGCTGTAGATAAGGTAGTTTAGGACTTCAAAAACCGTTCTCTGGCTTTGCTGAGTCTGGTGTTATTTGCTGCCCTCTTGTGGCCATGTTGAATCTCTTGCTCAAGCTCCCCCTCCCCCAGGGTACTTCCACATTTAGGTAGACAGGACTTGCTACATAATTACCCTTGGGGGAGGCAAATGTGGAAATGTCACAGAGGAGCCCAGGTCTAAAACTAATATATATGATATATAATATTATCTAGTTAATATATCATATATAATGCATATCACATATCTATTAGATATATAATTATATAATATATATCATATATGTGTTATATATGTTATATATTATATAATATAAATGGGATATATAATATATAACACGTAGATATATATTATAAATGCTAATTAAAATGAGAACAAAAGAGATGTATAAAGAAATGGTTCCAGAAGAAATGTGTATGCTAAGCAGTTGGGAAGGATATTTTATTATTATTATTATTGTTGTTGTTATTATTGTTTGTCGGTTGTGGGGCTTGAACTCTGGGCTTGGGCGCTGTCCCTATGCTCTTCAGCTCAAGACGAGTGCTCTATTGCTTGAGCCATAGCGCCGGGTCTGGTTTTCTAGTGGTTTATTGGAGATAAGAGTCTCACAGACTTTCCTGCCCGGGCTGGCTTTGAACCGTGATCCTCAGATCTCAACCTCCTGAGTAGCTAGGATTACAGGCACGAGCCACTGCCACCCAGCTTGGAAGGATATTATTTAGAACATGTTTGGGGCCCCATTTAAGTATTTGAGACATGGGTAGATGTGATCTAATACCCACGCCAACATCCTCAGGTGTCAAAAGCTGAGTTGAGGAGATTTATGGATTTGTCTCCCTGACCTTCCCCCTTCAGCGATGGAGGTCTTCTGAGCTTGACCCTGCCTACCCAAACCGAACGGGTGGAGACCTTTCCCCTTTTCTATCATGGCTCAGTCATACACGAGTCTGCACACGGAGCACTTGGCTCCCACACAGTGTGCAATTTTCTATTACACTCATTATTCTCTCTCCATCTACCTGCAAGCTTCCTAGTGGCAAAGCTCCTATCTTGTACATTGTCAGCTCAGTAGATAATATTGTATCTGATATTATATGTAAATTTATTCATTCAGAAGCAGCTTTCAAAATTCCCCATGTTAAACCTTTAGCACGATTCTACACACTCCACTCTCAATTTAAATTCTGTACCCCCAAACTTCCAATCTGTTCACACATTTGAAGGTGGTGGTTAGAATTTTAATTATAAGCATACTTCCCTGGGGGGGGGGAAATCTGTGCAAAATGTTATTATCAGTAAGTTAGTATCAACAAATGAGACTTGGGGACTTGTCACAAATTTTTATCCAGAGGTGAGGTGAAGGCTGGGAGCAGGATGAGGACTATGTAAACAATACTTCTAGCCTGTCATTCCTATTTCCAGGTTCCCAACCAAAACACTCATGGAGATTTAAAAATATCCTCTCTGCTCCCTTAAGCATTCTCTTCTCCTCCTTAACAAAGAGAAAGAGGGATTCTAGATGGAAAGAGAACGACAGAAATGTCATTTGAAGAAGAGAGCAGAGGCAATCAAGTTCCAATGACGGCAAATCTGACTGGGAATTAGGAAAGTCAACACAGACATTCCCACATGTAGGATCCTCTGTGGCTTTCATCCTTTTTCCTTCTGCAGCTCCGAAGGTATGAAAGCCTTCTTCAGTTTTGAGATCTGGGAAGGAGGGAGAAGGGGAGGAAGAGGGAGAGGGCGCTCAACACTATATTAAAAATGTTCCTGCCAGAGCTGGTGGCTCACACCTCTAATCCTAGCTACTCAGGAGGCTGAGATCTGATGATCAGGGTTTGAAGCCAGCCTGGGCAGAAAAGTCCCTGTTGCTTATCAGATGATGGAGGGAGAGTCCTCAACATTTGGAAACCATACCAAAGGACGAATTGCTACTGCCTTTGCTTCAATGTGTCATGGAGCCTTCCCTCGGGCAGAGGACGAAAAGCCTGCTTTCAAGACGTAATGAATTGTAAACTCAGAGATGGTGGATGAGGCCTCTCGTTCCTGATTTCGTAATCTAAAGGTAGCTATTTTAAAAATGGGGAAGTGGCGTAAGGCTGTTCAACAAACATGGAAGTGCCTGGCAGGGCGTGTAGCTCAGTGGCAGAGTGCTTGCCTGGCATTTTCCAGGTTGGAGTCTACCTCCAGCATCGAGAAGAAAAGAAAAAAGAAAGAAAGGAAAAGGAAATGCAAATGCTCCGTGAAAGGTCAGAGGAGAGTTTGTTGTTCATGGAGTGGAAGAACTCACCTGGCATCTGGGAGAACGGAGGCTGGGGGTTGCTGACGCTGCCCTAGAAGGAAAACACAGCACATAGATTCCTGCTGACGTACACGCTTGGGCTTAATTAGAAGTTAGGAACATACTTTCCAAACTTTAATTTGTGATAGCCAGAAATAATTACTTGAAGGACTGCTCTCTCTCTCTCTCTCTCTCTTTTTCTCTCTCTCTCTTTCTCTCTCTCTCTGGTGCTAACTGAGAATAAAATTAAAAAAAAAAAAACAGAAGAGAGTTTTATCAAAGACCAAAGCTTGGACTCCGGTTCACATACCTGGTGAGATGAAATAAGTTACCATTGTGCTTTATTTTTCTGCTTAATACTCCATCAAACATAGACTATCTACACATGAATGTAAGTGTGCACAGATATATTCAACCTTGAATGGACAGTCTTCTAATGTCCACGTGTAAGGGTCCTGACTGTGCCTTACCATAATTGTCCAGAATAGAGCATGATTCACAGCAGACATAACTAAAGACACCTAGCCTTCAAACAATCCACAGCCCCCTGAGCATGGGGCATTAGGGAGATGTTGTAGCTTGGTTTGTTCCTTGCATTTATGAACTTACCATTTACCATTTACAGATAACATCTTTGAAGATGCCATGACTTAAAGTAAGAGGAAGTCATGCAAATTAAGAGGGACCCTAAATCTCATACAGCCAATGAGCCAATGCCCCCTGCAAGGAGAGACAAAGCACATGGATAAAGACATGGGAGAGGAATGTGTGAAGACAAAGTGAGTGACAGACATCAACAGGAGAGGACAGTAGACAACTGTCAGGAGCGAGGAGGAGAGAAGGACTGAGAAATGTTTCTTCCGTAGCACCGTGGAAGATCCCCACCTTGCCAGCATCTTGATTCCAAGTATCAAGCTTCCAAACAGTAAGTATGTGTTGTTGAAGCCACCTCAGACTCGATCACTTGTTGCTGAAGTTTTAGGAGAGGGATGCAGGGGGGGGAAGGTCCTGGGAGAAGTATCACAGGCAGGGAAGGAGGGGTGATGTGGGTGTTTAAGCTGGCATCAGGGAAGGGGTAGAGAATACATCCTGGAAGGGTGCTGACTGCGCTGGCCTCTGAAGGAAAGGTAGCTAGGTGTGCAGAATCTTAAACTATACACATGCAAATTCTGACTCCAAGACGTCCTGAAGAAAAGGCAATGGAAAACACAGATACAGTCTTTCGACCTGATGATTCTACTAAGTCACAAAGATTGCCAGAGACCTTATACAGTCTTGTACAATTGTAGACTCAGTGCTTAAATCTTTCCATAATACGAACTCCAGATATAGCTACTATCCAGTGTCAGACCTCATACCCTCTGGGTAACATTTGGGGACCTCAGACTGGACAATGTCAGACCACAGGCTGGAAAAGGTCACTTGGTCTATGAGAATAATAGTCACTACAATGAAATAAAAGTGATAATAACATGCTGCAATAAGATGATCAGCATCACAACTCTTGCTCTTTAGGCCATGATTAAGTAAGCACACTACAGGTTACTTGATCATAAGCCATACATGCTGTGGCCGTCCATTAGAGAAATGAGAAGGGTACTAAGTGGTTGATGGGCCGGTAGTGTATACAGTGTGGAAACACTGGACAAGGGTATTGTTCACAGGGCAGAGCGGGGAACAGCATGAGATTTCACACTTACAATGTAAACCTTATGAATTGTTTCTGGATGTTCCTATTTACTATTTTCAGACTCTAGCTGGCTGTCGATAGTGAAAACTGGAAAGTAAAACCAGGGGTGTAGATGTGAGATTACTGTTAAATGTGTGTTTTTTATGTCTTGTCAAAAGTATGGCATAGATTTCTAAAATGTCTTCTGATTTGTGTGTTTTCCTGTTTAATAGTGTGTGTGTGTGTGTGTGTGTGTGTGTGTGTGTGTGTGTGTGTGTGTTGTTGTTGTTGTTGTTGTTGATCAAGTATATAGTTCAGGCTCAACTCAAAGTCAGGATCTTCCTGTCTCTACCTTCTGCATTCTGGGATTCCAGGTTCTGCCCCCACACTCAGCTAAATTAGCGTGTTTGAGAGGCAGAAGGGAACCCTGGCGTGTGCGGTGGCCCGAAGTGGGTAAGATCGGGATTCCTAACATCTGTGCAATGAAACCATAGCTATGCTGCTGTCTGCATGCATTTTCCCAGGCTGCCAGTGCCCTATTGGCTCGCGTTTCTCTCCAGTTCCTTCCCCTGTCTGGAAGGGCTGCTCTAACCTCTGTACCTGTGGATCTTGGCCTCAGCCTCCTTTTCGGCAGGAGTAGGGTCTGCAGGGGAGGTGGCTGTGCTGGTGCTGCTCGGGGAGAATCTACCATTCTCCCTTCTCTCTGTCTCTGCTCTCATTGAACTGCACTGGTCAAGCTGGGGCCGGGAGGAGGTCTTCTGCGAGGCAAAGTGCACCCAAGTTGGTGTCAGGACTTCTCAGGCCTGTTTGGACCTTCCATGTTTTGAACAGCTCCATGTTCTGCCCTCAGGACCAACCATCAGCTGGCACAGCTCTGCCTGCCTCCTTCTGTCGCTATTACCCCGGGCGGGGATGAAGCCCAGGCTCTGCATTGGTTGTGCTAGCCCCCTCCACCTTCACAACAGTCTCTAGCATCGCTTTATACTTCTTGTCCTCTTTCTGTCCAGGCTTAATTATAACCACTAACCTAGCAGATTTTTTTTCTAATGATGATGATGATGATTTGCTGTTCATGGGGCTCGAACTCTTGGGCTCAGTGCTTTTATGCTTTGGTGCTTAAAGCTAGCTCTCTACCACTTGAGCTACAGCTCTGCTTCCATGTTTTTATGGTTAATTGGAGATAAGAGTCTCATGGACTTTCCTTTCCTGGGCTGGCTTCGAACTGTGGTCCTCAGATCTCAGTCTCCTAACTAGGATTATGGGCATGTACCACTGGCACCTGGCTATATTTATTATTGGACCCAAAGGGAAGTTTCCTGTATTCTTTTCTCCTCTATAGTTTTGCCTTCTATCTACTGTGGGAATTACACACTATTTTTACTCTTTATGGCTGTCCATAAAAGTTTACCAGGCAGCTTTAACGAAGCTATAAATACTCTCCTAACCCTCCCACTGAAAGATAAGAACCTGAGGTTGACTCTTTCCTAATTCACATGCATCTCCCATTTAAAAAAATATTTTAAATTGGTTCTTTTAAAAATGAATACTCCACACATTAGCTATCCTCATTATATCAAGTAGTATTACTTAATCATTATTATATTCAGTAATTTTTAGATCTGACTTATTCATGTGTTTACTACTTTCATGGTTACTTTCTATACTCGTTTGCTTTTCTAAAACACTTTTTTTAAAAGAAAATTCCTTAAGGATAGGTGGTGCTGGTGGCAAACTGTTTTAGATTTTATAGACCTACAAAAATAATTTCTTTTAGCTGGGTGCTGATGGCTCACAGCTGTAATCTTAGCTACCAGAAAGCTGAGCTCTAAGGAACATGGTTCAAAGCCAGCCCAGGATGGAAAATCTGTGAGACTCTTATCTCTAATTAACCACAAAAAAGCCAGAAGCATGGGCTGAGAAGGTGGCTCAGTGGTAGAGCGCTTGCCTTGCATGCATGAGGCTCTGGGTTCGATTCCTCAGCACCACATAAGAAAAGAGCTGGAAGTGGCGCTGTGGTTCAAGTGGTAGAGCACTAGCCTTGAGCTGAAGAGCTGAGGGACAGCACCCAGGCCCAGAGTTCAGGCCCCATGACCGGACCCCCCCCCCCCAAAAAAAAGCCAGAAGCAAAGCTGTGGCTCAAGTAGTAGAGTGCTAGCCTTGAGCACAAAAGCTCAGGGACAGCACTCAGGACCTGAGTTCAACACCCAGGCTGTCATATACACACACAAAAAATTTCTTTTGAGGTTGTTCTTGGAAGGTACTATTGCTGGCTTTACAATAGTGATTTTTCTAGTCTTTCCCCCCACCTCAGTCTTTGACTTCCATAGTGGCTAGCAAGAAGCCTGAGAATGAGATTTGGGTCTGGAAGATCCTAAATCAATTCTCTGAGGGCTGGCTGCATTTACTTTTTGTTGTTGTTGTTATTTAATATGTGCATTTCTTTTTTTCTTATTTAATTTTTTATTGTAAAAATAGTATACAGAGGGGTTACAGTTACATGAGTAAGGTAATGAGTCCATTTCCTATCTAGCATTGTTACCTCCTCCTTTGTTTTTCCCCTACTATCCCTTCCCTCCCCATTTCCCCAACTCCTCCCTCCTCCACCCAGTTGTAAAGTGCGTTTTCAACAGTGTCTTGTACATGTCATTGTTATGCATTTACTTTTATTTCTAGGTAAGACTTTTTAAATCAGAAGCACAGATAATAGTATCAAATGCATTTCCAAAATGAAAAAAGAACTGTCATTAATCTTGCAGTTATTCTTGGGAGCAATCTTTCTTCTGGATTGCTTTAAACATACTTTGTCTTTATCTAGAATTTGATTTGAATTTTAAAAAAAAGTATACTGCATAGTTTAGAATGTATTTACGTGTCTGGAGCCATGTCTTTCAAAAACTCTGCAGAATTTTCACCCACTGCTCAAATATTGACTTATTTCTATTGTCTCTAGTCTGTCCCAAGAGTATATATATATATTTTAAAATTTTATTATCAGGTTATGAGTACAATGCATCTTGATCAGCTCCTCTCCTTCCATCATCTCCCTGGAGCAGAATTGAGTCCCTACGTATTAAACCGGGGTGTAATACTTCTTGGTGCTTACATGACATGCTACCTTTAATTTTCCACGATTTTCAACATTTCCCCAGGAGAGAGTTACATTGTAACAAAAGTAATTCATAAGCCATTCGTGTAGTCGTTTCGTAAGTATGTTGTTGGGTATTCTCAAGGTCCGGTGTACAATACGTATTGTCTTATTTAATTCCCACAACAACTCCAGAAGAGAAGTAACACTGTTTTCTTTCAACTGACCATGAAGGGGAAGGTTTGAGAAAATACACATGCTCCCTTCCAGGACGGGGTTGTATGCAGGTATGGCAGTG